AGAACCGAGCCAGGGAAAAACCGAGCCGAGCCCACCTCTGGAACTGGTCTGCAGTTAGCTCGGTCCAGTTATGTCTAGCTCGGTTCAGTTCAGTTTGCTTTCCATTACACACCATAAGTTATCTCAGTGACTGAGCTCGGACCGGTCTCGGCATAATGGGGTAATTATCTAACGTTAAAGCAGCTCTGTACCGACAGGAAGACGGCGTCCCGCCAAAATAAAATAAAAGACAGATTAAACTTGGCACGGCAGCTTAGGGGCAGGACTTTATGTTCTTTGGACCTGCTGGTCTGACGAAGCTACAGTTCAACGGTTTGGTTAGGACTGGAGGAACAGGGGAGCTGTGAAGCACGGGGGAGGCAGGATGATGATGTGGCTGCAGAAAGCACTGATGCACAACAGGTGGAGAGTGAAAACCATGTGAGCAAACTGAAGAAACGTCTCAGGGAGAAGTTCAATCTTTGGCACAAACGACTGAAAGCGGGATCCAATCAGAGCGGTTCATGGAGGACGACCCACGCCATCATTTAGAAGGAACTTCTACCAAACGCTAACGTCTGCTCACCTCGCTGCGGGAAGCCACGGCGCGGTGCAGAGGGGTCAGCCACATGTTGTCTTTGGCGTTGACTCTGGCCCCTGCAGCATGGAAACATGTGAACAGAGCTGCTGATGTGCATCAATAACAGACATTAAAACAGGCGGTCAGAGCAGGGAGCGCACTGAGAGGGGCGACAAAAGGAAAACCACTCACATCCTTTTATGATTACAGCATTTCAGAATAAAGCCAAGTTAAAAAATATTTCAATAATAAAATAAAGGACTATTGTTTACAGATTAATTGTGCGCATAGATAATGTGTTAAACTCAGCTGTGATAATTTCACGGCGAGGAAGTGAAAAACTAAGAGGCTGATCTGAGGGAGGAGAAAACGACAGACGTTTGAATAAAGAAGATCACAGAGAGGGTTTCCTACCAGAGAGGATGAGGAGTTCGATGATCTCAGCATCGCCCAGGAATGCTGCTGCATGCAGCGGGGTGCGTTTCTCAGAATCCTGCAGGAACATCCAGGAAAAAAAAACATGACTGAACAGGCTGGAGACGCTGTGAGCAGGTCTGAGCCTCTGAACCAGAAGAAGCTCAAAGGACAGAAAATTAGTCAAATCCTGAACTTTGACCTCTAAGCTACAGTATTGGTTTCATCATAACAGCAAAATGCATCAATCTACAGGTTTACTAGTGGTTCCTAGAATTTCTAAAAGTAGAATGGGAGGCAGATCTTTTTGTTCTCAGGCTCCTCTCCTGT